GATCCAAAGGGCGGTCATCAAAATCAAAGATGTCACGGTAGGATTTCAGCAGGTGTCGGATGTCAGCTATCTGTGCTGGAAGAAGGTCCGGAGCGATCATCTTGTCGATGGTGGCCTCCGTTGCGCTCTTCGAAGATGAAAACAGAGCAAAGGACGATGAAGATTCGGCAACGAACGCCGAAATGGCAGCATCTATAGAAAAAACTTTTGACAAAATCATATCATCTGGGATAACAGATCTCAGATTCACGTAAGTAATGGCTTGAGGTGCTAGGCGAACGTGATCTGCAGAACACAGACGGGGTTAAGCTGGTGTTGGGTCGTCATGGTAACACGGTAAATCAAGTTCAAGCATGCCGGTTCCACAATCAATAAGGGCAGAGTGGGCGGATAAAAAGTCCATGCCGAGGATAAGTTCATGGGAACATTTCTCGAGCACAGCAAATAGCACTGTCGTGGAGCGATCAGCCACACTTATACGCGCGAAGCACATTCCAAGCACAGGAAACGTGCCGCCGTCGGCGACCTGGATGAGTGGCACTGTGGGTGGCGTTAAAACTTTCCTAAGGCGGCAACGAAGATCTGAATGCATCACTGATATGTGAGCCCCTGTGTCCACAAGTGCAACAACGGGTGTGTCATCTACTTCAATGTCAATAAGGTTGCATCGAGTCGACAGCATGGTCAGAGGATTTGGCGGGCAAGTGGTCGATCCAGCATCACCTCTGGGAGCTGCATCATCTAGTTTTCCCGCGGCAGGTGGTCAGTCGGCAACGTTGGTCCGCGAAATTGGGGCTAGCGAGACGATGGGTGACGGGAGAGCGGTGAACGGGACTGGTGAGCATGCGGAGATGGAGAGCGACGACGATGTGGCGGCATAAAAGGAACGTCTTCACTGGTGGCCTGAGGTGACTCCCGGTAAGTTTGAAAGCGTCCATGATTCCTCTCTGGCCGATGCGGGTACCCATAGGATGCCTGACGCCAATACCACCGAGTGTTACAATGGCGGGCCACGTGTCCGATACGGTGGCAGTTGAAACAAATCGGGCGATCGTCAGCAGTTCTCCACTCAGCTGGATTGCGAGGGCGCGCCGGAAGGTTTTGGCTTTGGGCATAAGAAACAGGGGGTCGACGACGGTTGATCGGCTGAGATGGAGCTGTAGTGCCCTCGGAGGCCAGTCCAGCATTGGAAAGCTCTTGTCGCAAAATGGCATGTACCAGTGGCACCATCTGAGGGCTAGAGTCACAGGCATGGGAGCACGTGGACGCAGGAGACAGAGCTTCAAGTTCACGTCTGATGATCTTGGTCACGTGCTCTGCAGTAAACGGCATCTGTAGCGCAGGCCTGTCTTCGCACGACCAGATTGCTGCTGTGTTTGGTAGTCGGGTGAAATCATGGGCGATACGTCGACTTTTTGCGGCCTCAAAACGGCTGGCACTCCTTGATGATGACATCGACCGTGTTGCAGTTCTTGCACATGAGAAGGTTGAATGCATCATCTGCAATGCCTTTCAATATGTGAGCTACTTTTTCGGTTTCTGCCATATCGTTGTCCGTTTTTCGGCAAAGGGCAAGCACGTCCTGTATGTAAGTCACGTAGGACTCTGATGACGTTTGCGCACGAGATGCCAACTCCTTCTTGGCCGCTGCCTTTCTGCCCACAGACTTGCCGAAAAGGGCGCGCATCTTTTCTTTGCACGCATCCCAGCTTCCAATTTCATCTTCGTGGTTCTCGAACCACACTTTTGCTGTTCCTTTCAAGTAGAACAGGATATTGGCCAACATAAGAGTTTCATCCCAGCGGTAATTCCTACTTGTACGTTCGTACAACGGCAACCATTCTTCGATGTCGACATCATCCGTGCCACAAAACGTGCCAGGATCTTTTAGCTGCGGAAGGACAACAGTTGTTGTTGTAGTCGCCTCGGCGGGAGCCGGTCCCTGGTTTGCCATGGTGGAAAAATCCAAGTGTTGGCCACTGCGGAGCTCCGTTATATTGTGTTGTACCCCACACCACCACCAAATGTCACGGGGGTGAGAGAATGAATGAAATAAATATATTTACAAAATATACAGGGAGAGTCAGAGGCAGCTGCAGCCAAGATGGAAGTACAGCAGCAACAACAACACGAGCACGGTCGCTTTCATCGTCTTCGTCGTCTATGATGCTCTTTCGTTGCCAATGTCGTGTAACAATATAAATAAAAATTCTGGCTCTAAGATGCTCTGCTACACATGCTTCTTTTTATTTTAGTAAACCATGATGACTGAAAGTTTTCATAGCTGAATCCAGTTGCACAGAACAATCGGTCAGTAGCAGATGCAGCAGACAACCCTGAGGTTTTACTTGGGTGCTGTAAGAAACCACAGGTGCACGCGCTCTTCTACCACAGGGGAAAACAATAGTTCCGTATGTCACCACGAAAGTCGCTGTGTGCACGTTCATCGACGTCCTCTCCCAGGGTGACATTATTGCAGCCCATGCTTGTGCTGACCCGGCGTTTTTCTTCCCACATTTCTTGCTTTGTGGTGAAAGCTCGGATGTTGATGAGCAAGTGGCATCTCGAACATGTGCACCGTGAAACAATGCTGACAGGATCAAAATAGGCTTTTCTCTTTCCTTGTTTTTGCTTAATGTAAGTTCATGCACTCAAAGAACACAGAAGTTTATTTCAATGCATAATTGTTTTTTGGTCATAGAGGGCTGTTTTACAATTTATCTTGCTGTTGCTCACGAATAACCCATGTCAAGTCAAGTTAAGTCAAGTTTATTAAATAGTTCAGTTGAGTTACATGGTTAGCGTTATTACAGCAGGAGGTCCCAAAGTTTCAGAGAAACTGACAGGGGGACCTCCTATAGCTACATGGATGGGGTAATTACAAAAAATACAGCAATAGTATATGGACTTGTGAGTAATAATGAATAATCTTGATTAACAATAAAAATACGATCAATACGCAACATAATGGTAATACTCACTATTGAAAAATAACAAGGAAATAGTCAAAAGCAAGTAAAGACAAAAAACAATATTAATGAACTCTACGTGACAAATGCAACACGTTTCATTATCAGTGTTATCAATTATACAAAGGCAAATTGAAGTAGTAAAATAGCACAGAACTGTGGAGGGCTATTAACAGTTAATTACACAAATTGGATGAGTTGATTAATTCCTGAACGTAATATTTCTTACTGCACGAAGTGAAAATATGGATGTTATGCGATGATTTCAATTCGAAAGGCAATAAATTCCAAATGGCTATACTAGTAAATAAGGTTGAGAACTTGCTGTAGTTTGTCCTTACGGCCGGCAAAAGAAGATTATTGCACTGGGAAAACCGGGTGATGTTACCATTAGTTAAGTGACGATGATCAATGCATGCAATAAAAATGTCATGCGTGATGAGTCTAAAGGCGACAATGGACATTCTATGACAAAATAATTGTCTCAATGGGAGTATGTTAAGCTGTGGAAACAACGAGCTGCAGGAGAAGTAAAATGGGCTGAGAGTCATTAATCTAACTGCTTGATTCTGAAGTCGCTGCAAACGTTCGATGTGCGTGAGATATGTGTTAGCCCAAGATGATACGCAATACGAAATATGGCTATCAATATAAGCAAAATACAAAGTACGTATGATGTGAGGCAGAAAATAAGTTTGTGTCTTGATGATAACGTGAATACCAAATGCGATCTTTTTAACGAGTGATGCTGCATGTTTATGAAATTTTAGTTCGCTATCTAAGATGACGCCAAGAAAACGCGCTTCACTGGAAATGTTTATGACGGTATTACCAATGTGAAGGGAAGGTTGTATGTCAAGTGAAATGCACGGGGAATGGAACAACATAAACATGGTTTTAGTAGCATTGATCTGAAGATAATTAGCCTGGCACCATAAAGTTATGTTATGTAAATCTGTGTTTAGGTCAGACTGGAATGAAGAAACTGATTTAGATAACTGAAAGATGGTTGTGTCGTCGGTGTAAAGTATGCACTTGGTTTTTGTAAGAATGGTAGGTAGATCATTAATAAACATCAAAAATAAAAGTGGGCCTAAAATTAATCCCTGTGGAACACCAACGTTAATTAACTTGGGCATTAAAAGATGGCCATTAACATGAACCATTTGAGACCGGTTACTGAGGTAGCTCTTAATAAAACTTAGTGGCGGACCACACATACCAAATGATTCGAGTTTAACAAGTAGAATGTGACGATTTATAGTGTCAAAAGCCTTCGTCAAATCGATAAACACAGATCCCACAAGTAACCCTCTATGAATAGCTTGTTTAATTCCCTCCGTTAAGGTAATTAGTGCCAGCTCAGTTGAATATCCTTGACGGAATCCGAATTGTTGTGGAGATAAAAGGCTAAATTTTTTCAGATAACGCATTAATCTAATGTGGAATAACTTTTCAACTACCTTCCCGAAGAAAGGCAGGATACAGATTGGCCTATAATTCTGTACAAAAGTATTATCACCCTTCTTAAAAACTGGAACTATTTTACCAGCCTTAAGGCAGCTCGGAAACACACCCGCTGAAAACAGCTTGTTAATAATTACTGCCAAAGGTGGTGATACTAAGTTCGAAACTAGTTTTACTTTAAAAGAATCAATATTATCTATATGCGTGTGCAAACACACAGAATTTTTTCTCACTTCACGGTCACTCACAAAAATTTAGGCAATTTTTCTAGATTTCTCTAAAGAATTTATTTTAGAGAATAAACAAAATACAAGTTTTCAAAACTCATTCTGTGAAAAGAATTCATTCTCAAGGGGTTAAAGGGATGGTGTTTTTTAAAAGAGATTGCACACAAGTGCTGCTCATAGTTTTTCGCCATCATGAGCTTGCTATATTCAGCCAGCAACCATGCAGACATGCTCGCTAGGTGTGCTCTTCAATTCTTCTGACCCTAATCAAGACCAATCTTTGAGAAATGGCAAATGAGTAGGGTCGGGCTGAGCCCGCTGCAAGCAGTGCACTGACCAGATGCGCTGGCTTCGTTCGTGCAGGGTGGTTGCCTGCGATTGGGCTTCCTGCAGCTGGGCCTCCAACTCGTGTTCCCGCTCGGCCAGCCGCTGCGACCGCTGCTTCTCAAGGGCCAGTTGCTCCTGCAGGCGCTCCACCTGCACACAGGGCTCACTCAATCAAGGAAACTGTGGTTAGAACAAAAGCTGACATTTTGTAAAGAATTTAAATTAAAAAATCTTTATTTCAGTTTACAAGAAACGCTGCATACCGACGAAATTGGGCTAAAGATGAGTCAATAGGCATCGGGTAGCCATCATGCGGCAACAGCTGTGTCACTCCCGAAAAGTGCATCAAACGGCGGGGCAGCATTGGCATGTAAAGCAGAGAACATAGAAAAAGCTCCGCTACTTTTGGCATTATATTTGAGGAGTAGTGGCAGTGTTTCTTCTTGAACAATCTGAAGCTGCGTGTTGTTGAGTTTGTTGCCCAAAGCAAAGAGAAGCAGCAGCAACATTTTTTTACCAATACACGAAGCGTTCTACTGTTGGACATGTATTTAAAAACAGGGTTCGTCATCTGGCTTCTGGAAGACTCCCGTGCAGTCGCTTGTGGCTGCTTCAGCATTTAATGGTTGCCAAGTCAGCTAGAAAGGACGACACAGGTCCCTTTAATTAATCACACTAAGGAGCGCCACAGATACATAGAACGATTACACTTCTTTGCATTTTGCAGTGCCTTTGGGCGTTTAAGTTTGGAGGCAGACTAGATGGGGCATGATGCATCCTCCTTTTTAAGGGCTGCGATTGAAACAGGCCAGATTAGGGAAATACTGTAAAACAAACATCTTCGCATTTTTAGTACCAAACTTGTTGCTCCTCCCTGTTATTTGTAGGAGTCCTGGCGGCGAGGCCAGTAATGAGACAGCAAATGCACCAATGGTGATGCCAGTTAAATTACGCTGCTGCTTTCAAATCTTGGCGAGCTGGCATACACATTTTGGTGTGTCTGCTCAAAAAAAAACTGCAATTGCTGAAGCAGGTCATGGCATCACGGATTATATAGGTGATAACACTGCGAACTGGGTTCCCAGTACACCCTGCAGACGAAGGTCAATGTTACAAGCAAAGATGCAGTACAGTTAAACCTGGATATAACGAACTTGATAAATTCAGGAAAAAAGTTTGTTATAAAGAAGTTCATTATATGCAGGTTCGATACCCAAAATTGAAAAATAAACACACAAATTAAACAAAAAGGGAACTAAAGGCAGAGCTAACCCAAAACACTTATTCAACTGTAAAAAACCACGTTATTATTTCAACAGCAATTGTGTGGACACTTTAGCGGGTCTTTGCTGTCGCTGCCATGTTCCGTAACAAGTACAAACTGATAACATGTCTGTGCGCATTGCAACTGTTACGAGGTGGTAAAACAGAACGAGCGCTGCAGAAACAGATATCAAAGGAGCCCGCATACGATAAAATCCCCCGCGTGTTAGAACTGCAACAAATACTCAAACCGAAAGGAAAGCACCCATCTTGAACGTGCACGAAAAAGTGTGAGGGGGGGGGGGGGGTGTCGCTCGAGTAGCCACGGTGAACAATGATTTTAAGAGTGAGGTGGTGATTGCTCGCACGAGTGCTATCTCAGCATGTATAAAAGAGCACTTCTCCCTGGAGCGGCCATATTTGCTTATAGCAGCGTTTTGTAGAAGTTTTGCGATATCGGATTCAAAAGAGCTGGCTGCCAGCCCTACTCCGTATAACATACAATGTGTTGTTATCGTATTCATTGCATTACATTCAATGCGTCGTTGTGTTGTTGCACAGCTAATCCACTAATCCCAAAGGCTCTGATCCCACAAACTTGCGGCGCAGCGATAGAAGCACGTGACGAGTCAACCTCTAAAGCTCTGTCGTTCTCACTGTGGTCTCAAAGAGTTTCCATCAGCATGTAATCCGACATCCCCTCGGTAGTGATGACACGGTTGTTCGTATATAAAAGAAAAGAAAACGCAACTCCGAATATCGTTGGGGGCCACACTATGCATGCGCAGTGAAACCATGCACGCGTGCACAGCGTCAAAAATAAAGAGCGAATGAAACTGAATCCGCGGCAAACTATTCGATAAAGCGCACTTCCTATGAATCAAAAAAGAATCATTGGCATTAGCCTTGTTACAATTTCAAAAAAGTACTGTGCATGTTAAATTAGTCACGGCAAATATGCACATATTGCTTTATGATATGTGATATATACTATTCAAATTTTATTTAAAAATATTTGACCAAAACACTACTTATTTCGAACCTATTATTCACAATCAGCACAAGACTCGTAAAAACAGTATGTACAAGTAAGACATAACTACACAGTAAGAAAAACGCCGATTGTGTTTGACTGTTTTTTTATCGTCTTCTCATTCACTCCTCCGCTCAGGCGTGCGGAGAGGAAAGGAATGTCTATGCGCGTAGCTGTCTGACACTCTACTAGAATCCTGCATGCCAACTGCAAGTGAAGTTGCCAAGTGCCCACTATGCCATCACAGTGCAAATCAGCAATTCACTACGCAGCATCCGTAAGGGCATATGCGCCGCTGCATACTTTGTTGATGCTGCTGCTGAAGATAATAGCCAAATTACTTCGTAACTGGTGGGCCCCCTCGTTGCACAGTCTACACGGTGCGACACCTTGTGCAATGCTATTTACTCCGCACACTACATGATGCCTGTCTAGTGGTTTTTTTTTTTTTTCTGAGGCTATTTCGAACGCTGACACGGCTCTGTGGTAGAACACGTATGTGCCACATAGAAGGCCTGGGTTCCAATCCCACTTGAACTAAACATTCTTTATTCTGTACTTATTTAAAGGAACACTAAAGAAAAATATTAAGTCGATGCTGGTTGCTGAAATAGCAGTCTAGTAACTTTGTAGTGTTACTTTTGTGGCAAAAAGTGCTTATTTGAAATAAAATGACATTTTAGAGGCCTGCATCGTGCTAGCACACTTCAAATTACCCGTCTCAAAGTGGAAACTTTCACATCACCGTTACCGTGCACAAAATTACCCGGCTTTACAGCGCAACCGCCGACACTAGTAGAAGCAGAGCGAAAGTTAAAGCGAGGTTAAAAGTAAAAAATTTAGAGTGTGAAAGCACATATTCTGCTATCCAAACAACCACCTTACTTTCGCCAAACAGTTTGAGAAAAATCTAGAAGTTTAGCCTTTCAAACCAGGTCAACGACCTTTGAACATACTATAAATATGGCATCAACCTGTTTCCATCGTTAAGGGAAGAAGCAATGTTGTGCGTCAATTGAACAGTACAATAGCCAGCACAAAAGCCGTACTGTAATGGTGAAAGTATATTGCGTGCATTTAGATATTCTACAATGTATTTGTCAATGCTATGCACGCAAAATTTACGGCTGGTAGAAAGCAAGAATATTGACCTCTAATTTGGTACTATTTGCTTATTTCTGGACTTAAATACGAGCACATTTGATAACTCCCACAGCTGAAGAACTGCTGTGGAAATTATTGATTTTTAAATAGTCACCAACCGACTTTTCGGACTCCAAAAATTGGGACGTGTTGGATATTTTGGACTTCAAAAGTGCCCCGTCAGGGTTCCCATAGGACTAATGCATTTTTTGGACCATAATTTCGGATGAATTCGCCCCCTAAAGTTGGATTTTTCGGAATAAATCGCTTGTTTTGAGCCACGCCAGGAACCTGTACAAACGCAGCCATTTTAGATTTTCTATCGGCTTGACTAAGCTTAGTGGCTTAATTTTAAAATGGCTTTCCTGACTCCGAAATTGGAAAGCAAACGTCATATTTCAAGTTTCGGAGGCAAGCTCTGCTTTAAAAAACGCAGCATGGGATTATTTTCTCGTCTTCGGTCAGCCCTAGTGGTCAGCCCTGTCATCATCGCAGCGTACAGGGAGGAGGCAGAACTCTGCAGTAGTAATACAATGCTCTAGATATTTTACTGTAGTAGTGGAGTGAATGTGCCTGCTCATGCAGACTTCACTCGTGTGGACGATGAAATTTCATGCACGGAGCCCACAGACGAAGAAATTCTTCCCCAGGTTGTGTCGCAGCCGGAGAGCGGTTCGGATGATGATGACAATGATCGCCCGCAGCTTTTGGCAATGGAGATCGCCACCGCGGTGAGGCTTTTGTCGAGCATTTACAGTGACTATGTCACCTTGGCGCAAATATGGGCGGACCAAATTGCTTCCAAGCGTAGTATGAGGCAAGGCAGAATGATGGACATTTTAAAGCCTGCCTGATCAATAAAATTCATAATTCTGACAAAAACAAATTTTTAGGACTGTTCAATTTTTCAGACTTTTCTTTGGTCCCTGACAGGTCCGAAAAATCGGTCAGCGACTGTATTACAATATAGATAGTCAGCACACCAATCTAAATACCACTTTAAAAACATACTTCGGCCAGACCATTTCGAAACCTCAATATCTAGAGTAAAGGGTCCAGAGACGCCTAAAGCAAGATTAAAACGAGCAGGTAGCTTGCTGCACACGAAACATGAAGAAGTGATGCCGTTATCAGTAGAAAACAGATTTGAAGTAATTATTAAATACTTTGCCATTGCTTCAGGATTTGGGGAGGAATGGCCATCAAGAATAAACAATGAAAGCATAGACAATGCAGCATTCATTTATTTCTAGAACCTGGATGGATATTTTTTTCACAAATGTAGCAAAGGCATTGCTAAAGTAGTAGTTCTTAGATATTTTTCATTTCAGCATCTAATTTACTTTTCAATGCATTAAATGAAGAACCATTATCATTACACTTATAATGACGAGTAAACGCTTTATGCAATGAGTGAGATGAATTATGTCTTCATGATACCATAGGTGCCTTGGGTTCCATTTATTATATAACAAGGCACATACTTGCATTCCCGCACAATGGCACAAGTCTTAAGAAGGAGCGCATCTACATTGCAAACTTCGCTTCAACATTCAAATTCCTCAAAAAATTAGGCTGAAGTGTCTAGTATGGAAATGTTATTAACATTAAGAATGCTCAGCACACTTTTGATCTGAGGTCTTTGAGGAGAACACGCTAAGTTTGAGGTGACATTAACATTTTTATGGTCATAAAACCCTTTTACGACTTGACATTTTACACCGAGCGATGGCAGCACGCAGCCTCATAATGAAATTAGGCTCCAGCTATAATTCTTTTATATGTGAAGCATTTCTTAGCGAACTTCGGTGATTGCAAGCATACCTACCCGTCCATCCATACGCCCGCCCGCCCGCCGCTTGCCCACCCACTCGTTTGTCCGTATCACGAGCATAACTGACTAGTCATAACATAATAATAATAATAATAATAATAATAATAATAATAATAATAATAATAATAATAATAATAATAATAATAATAATGTTTATTTTTCATCAATAGTTTGATGAAGGACAGCTACAGGTAAAAGCTGCACTCCAAAAGAGGCAGCTTGACAAAGACCCACAGCAATCTCTTAGCATGACAGCTATGGGAAACAATCAGCAATGTGAAGTCAATAGCAATAACAACAACACCAAATAGATAAATAAATAAAAAATAAACTAAAAATATAAAAATCAAGTCCGAATTCCAAAAATAAAAATAGCAATCATGATAATGCAGCAACTGCAAAGAAATCTTAAAAACTAAACATGTGTATATCGCGCAACCGAATCTGTGTACAGTGTAAAAAATCTACGCCAGCTTTCAGATATTTATTAAGTAACA